TAGGGTTAAGGGTTTAAGGTCAAGTTTAGGGTGAAGGGTTTAGGGTCAAGCTTAGGGTGAAGGGTTTAGGGTCAGGTTTAGCATTAAGGGTTTAGGGTTAGGTTTAGGGTGAAGGGTTTAGGCTCAGGTTTAGGGTTAGGTTTAGGGTGAAGGGTTTAGGGTCAGGCTTAGGATTAGGTTTAGGGTGAAGGGTTTAGGGTCAGGTTTAGGGTTAAGGGTTTAAGGTCAAGTTTAGGGTGAAGGGTTTAGGATCAAGCTTAGGGTGAAGGGTTTAGCGTCAAGTTTAGGGTGAAGGGTTTAGGGTTAGGTTTAGGGTGAAGGGTTTAGGGTCAAGCTTAGGGTGAAGGGTTTAGGGTGAGGTTTAGGATGAAGGGTTTAGGCTCAGGTTTAGGGTTAGGTTTTGGCTAGGGTTAACCCTTTCAGCCCTGTCCTGCTGTCCCAGGCCACCGTGGAAGGTGACGTCGGTGAACAAGAGCCCGCCGAGGTGAGCGAGGGCCCCGCTGGAGCGGCCGGCGGGACCTCCCCGCACGTGCCGCAGGCATCCCGCGCTGCGCTCCGTCGGCGTCCCCGCAGGTCCCCGAAGCGGCGCCGCCACGCGCCGGCGGCGACGAGTGCGGGCCAGGCCGCCGCCAACGCCTCGTCCGCGGCACCACCACCGCCACTGGGCGCCGCGCCGGCCCCAGCGCCCCAGGCCGACTTCCAGATCTTCGAGGACAAGGTGGTGCGCGACAGGACGGTGCTGTCGCGGCTGCGCCACTTCACCGAGTACCGCATCGACATCCACGCCTGCAACCACGCCGCCCACACCGTGGGCTGCAGCGCCGCCACCTTCGTCTTCGCCAGGACCATGCCCGAGCGTAGGTGCCGCCCGCAACCYGCCTCCCCTTGCCCTCGGATGAGACCCCGGGTCCTTTGGGGGAGCGTTTTGGYGCGGGACGCGCATCCCGCTGTGCCCCTCTCCAGTGCAAGCCGACAACATTCCCGGGAACATCACGTGGGAGCCGGCCGGGAAGAACAGCGTCCTGCTGCGCTGGGAAGAGCCCCGCAACCCCAACGGGCTCATCCTCAAGTACGAGATCAAGTACAGCCGCGAGAGCGAGGTGAGGACCCCGCGGAGCCCGCTCCAGCCTGGCAGGACCCCCGTCTTGGGAGACGCTCAGCTGAGCCCGGGTGACGCGGTGGGCGCAATGCCCCCCGTGCCCGCGTCCCCCCCAGGAGGTCACCACCGTGGTGTGCGTGTCCCGCCACCGCTACGCCAAGTACGGCGGCGTCCACCTCGCCCTGCTCCAGCCGGGCAACTACTCRGCCAAGGTGCGGGCCACCTCGCTGGCCGGCAACGGCTCCTGGACGGGGCTCGTCAGGTTCTACATCCTGGGGCCAGGTAGGAGCGCCGGGAAAAGCGGGAGCGGCGGGCGGGAAGCRGGTGCAGCCCGGGTGGCTGCAGGGATGTGGAGCAGGGAGCCAGGGCGCAGGGTAGGGGGGATGCTCCGCACGGAGGCGCCGGGATGTATCGCCGGCCTCGGCACGGGGCGCGCGGCCGTGCCGGGCTCCATCCGTCGCCYGCGCGCCGCCGGCAGCCGCGGAGGAGTCCGGCGGCCTCTACGTCCTGCTGGCCGTCACGCCCGTGGTGCTCATGGCGCTCATCTCCTGCCTCGCCGTCTTCGTCTTCTTCTACAACAAGAAGCGGTAGCGGCCCCTTGCCCGCCATTCCCGGGCACCCGTCGCGGCCCCGAAGGGGTGTCAGGGCATTGGCCCTCGCGCGCCCTGCCCCTCCGAGGCCGGAGCGGCCCCTGAGTGGCACCCACCCCTCCAGGAGCAACGACGGGTACCCCAGCGGGACCCTCTACGCCTCCGTCAACCCCGAGTACTTCAGCGCCTCGGACAGTACGTGGGGACGGGCGCTGAGACGGGCGTGGGGACGGGGAAACTGAGGCACGGAGGGTCCCCAAGGTCCCTGCACCGGCCCCCGTGAGGCGGCCGTGGCATCGATTTGCCCTCTGAAGGGTGGAAAAGGGGGACTTGGACGCGAGAGGGGCCGTCCTGTGGGGAGCGGCGAGCCCCGGYGTCGCGGTGACGTCGCGGTGACRTCGCGGTGACGCCCGCAGTGTACGTCCCCGACGAGTGGGAGGTGTCGCGGGAGAAGATCACGGTGATCCGGGAGCTGGGGCAGGGCTCCTTCGGGATGGTCTACGAGGGGCTGGCGCAGGACATCGAGGCCGAGGGCCAGGAGACCCGCGTGGCCCTCAAGACCGTCAACGAGCTGGCCACCGTGCGCGAGCGCATCGAGTTCCTCAACGAGGCCTCGGTCATGAAGGCCTTCAAGTGCCACCACGTGGTAGGCTGGGGCATGGGTGGGAGGGGGACACCGGGGGGGGTCCGCAGCGTCTCAGAGCCCCCCGGTACCCCCCGCCCAGGTCCGGCTCCTCGGCGTCGTGTCCCAGGGCCAGCCGGCCTTGGTCATCATGGAGCTGATGACGCGCGGCGACTTGAAGAGCTACCTGCGCTCGCTCCGCCCTGACGCCGAGGTGAGGGGACGGGGGGGCCCTAGAGCCCCGGGGGGGGTCCCACATGGGGCCCCCATCCCTCCCTTYGCCCTGGGTGGCAGAACAACCCCGGGCTGCCGCCGCCGGCGCTGGGCGACATGATCCAGATGGCRGGCGAGATCGCCGACGGCATGGCCTACCTGCACGCCAACAAGTTCGTGCACCGCGACCTCGCCGCCCGCAACTGCATGGTCTCCGAGGACTTCACCGTCAAGATCGGAGGTGGGCGGCCCCGCGGACGGCGCCCGGCGCCCACCGCCGCTCACGGCGCCTCCTCCTCCTCCTCTTCCTCCCCCTGCAGATTTCGGCATGACGCGGGACATCTAYGAGACGGATTATTACCGCAAAGGCGGCAAGGGGCTGCTGCCCGTGCGCTGGATGTCCCCCGAGGCGCTCAAGGACGGCATCTTCAACACGCACTCGGAYGTCTGGTGCGCCCCGGCGCCCCAAAACGGGGGCGAAACGGGGGGCTTTGGGGAGCCCCCCTGACCCAGGGCGCCTGCCGGCAGGTCCTTCGGCGTGGTGCTGTGGGAGATCGCCACGCTGGCCGAGCAGCCCTACCAGGGCATGTCCAACGAGCAGGTGCTGCGCTTCGTCATGGACAACGGCATCCTGGAGCGCCCGGAGCGCTGCCCCGAGCAGCTGTGAGCCTCGTGGCCGTGGGGACATAGGTGGCCTTGGGAGGGGGATACCAGGSCCCCCCCGAGCCAAGCGGGCGCCCTCTCTCCCGCAGGCAGGAGCTGATGAGCCTGTGCTGGCAGCAGAACCCGCGCCAGCGCCCGTCCTTCGTGCAGCTCCTGGAGCGCCTCAAGGACCACATGGCGCCCGCCTTCCGCACCCTCTCCTTCTTCTACAGCCCCCAGGCGCGGCGGCGCGGCTCGGGCGACACGTCCGACGCCGACACGGAGCCGCCGGCCGAGGAGCCGCCGGTGCGCGCGGCCCACGGCCCCGCTGCGCTGCCCAACGGGGCGCCCGGCCTCTGATCCGSCCCCCACCTTCCCCCAATGCCTTCCCCAGGGCATTTCCTTGAGGAACGCGCTGGGATTCGCTCCCGCGCCTCCGGATGGTCTTCCTCAGCTGCCCCCTCCAGCCTCGGGAAGGGGCCGTTTGCGTTATTTATTGTGGGCATGGGAAGGGGGGCTGCACAGGGGGAACGAGGCTCCGGTCCGTGCTGACCCCCCCACTTGCCCCTGCTGCAGCCCCCAGCCCATCCGCCACACAGGTCAGTAGCCCAAACCCCGTTTCCCACGTGGGGAAAGTGAGGCAGGGGCAGCCCCAGCCCCGCTGAGTGCCGGGATCAACATCGTGCTCCGTGGAAGGGGCCTCGCGGTCCCCCCTGCAGCCGAGGAAGCGGCACAAATAAAGCGGGATGAAGCCTGGCAATGGTGACCCTCTGTTTTGGGGGGCACCCCCCTCCCAGTGCCACTGGTGCAYGAGAGCTCCGCGCTGGCTCCGCCGCGAGGCCCCGAGCTGCCTGGTGGAGCCCGGACTGAGAACGCACCCAGCTCAGCTCCTGCATGAGTCATCCCAGGGGCCAGACGCGGCTCCCGAGCCGCCGTCCTTGTCACCCGGGAGCAATATTGTCCGCCTTATCCCGCCTCCCGGGAGGAGGGTCCCTGCCAGACCTCTCCGTAGGGGTGACAGCGGCTCTGTGCCACCAAATGTCCCCTTCCTTTCCCCATTGCTCTGTACCTTGATCCTACRGGGATGCTCTGAGACGCGACGTTTTGGAAGGCGGCTCCGGGCTGGAGATATCACGGGCTGGGCTCCCTTGTGGCCTTTGAGCTCCCGGGGACAGGACGCAGAGCGGGGGCTGCTGCTTGGCACCCGTGGGGGACAGTTTCACGTCTATGGGGCAGAGCTTGCAGAGGGGCTGCGCCCACAACAAGGGTTCCCCACTGGACCCAGCGGCTTCGGACGGGAAGGAGGGGACCGGCCGGGTCGGGCACCAATCCCGGGCAGAGGGGCTGCGCCCGCAAGGGGGGTCCCCACTGGACCCAAGGGGTTCGGGCGGGAAGGGGGACACCGGCCGGGCGGGGCACCAATCCCGGGCACTCGGGGGCTTCCCGGTATCTCCATCCCCGTGCAGCGCTCGGTGCCGCTCCAG